GGGATCATGTTTGAAAATTAGGAATCGTTCACTATGGTTATGTTCACACTCCTATCCTTTAACGTCTTTATTAATCTGAATCTTTTAAACATGTTACAAAATATGCCCTTAAAAAAACAGAAGAAAAATAAATTCTAAAATAAAATAACAGTAAACTGCAGAATATTCAAATTGATGGGAGAACAAAAAACATCTCCCACGACTTTTCCACCATTAGTTCAATCATTTACTAGTCTTTTAGATATTAACTCATATTTCATCTTCTGCTTGCATTAGATTTAATATATGCATACAAGATTTTTCAGGTTTGAAAAAGCAACCCCACTCAAAATAATCTAATGTGAGTTAATGTACAATAATAATGATAACAAATGATGTGAATGAGCAATAAACGGTACAGCAATAATGGCAAATAAACAATTTTTAATATTTATTTTGTGATGTCCCTAAATCATGACTTTAAGGGTCACCTTATGAAATTCCAAATTTTAGATTTAGAGGAGAACAGGACTAAAAACATGTTTAGACCAGATGATTGTAGAACATCGTTGATCTTTGATTGATGTTTCCTCACTGACTCCAAAATATAACCCATTTAGGCTTATCTACCATAGCAGGTTTTATTCAATGTGTGCTGCAGCAACAAACTCCCAAACCCTCTTTTACATGAACAAATTTTGGGTTTAGACTATAAAACAATAAAGCAATCCACTCAGATTAAAAGGATGAAATCATTATCTGATGTGTGGGTGAATATAAGATCCTTAAACTTGAAGCTGAAACTGAAGCATGTTTAAACCATATTTATGTTTATTAATAAGTCTATTTGTTATGTTCCAGCTTGAGGCAGTTTAGTGTTGGTTCCACTTTTAACATGAAAATGACTAAGGAACATGATATCCAGAACAAATTTTGAAAATCAGTTTGATCTATAATCCACAAGGGGATGCTACTAAACCTTCCTGCCCTGTTTACCATTGTCTTGAACCTGGTGATGCTGCATTCAAGTTCTGTTTGTTTCATTTTGTTTTTTATCAAAAGGAACAAAACAAAACACTTTTTTACTTCAGATAATTGAGACAGAAATGCATCATTTTATTACAGTTTTTGTTGATTTGCTGTTTGCTGTCCTAAATGTGTGCAGTTGGTCGGGTTGCCAGAACTGTAGAAATGATCACTGTCTTTAAGTGATACAACTGAACTAGTCTTACTTACTGTTCATATCTTTTTTAGCGACCAGTTCTCTATCCTAATCATTTTTGAGGTGAAGTCTCCTCATAGTTTTGCTCTGTTTAAAACACATATGAATATTCTTTTAGATCAGATAATTTTGGTTGTTTCATATATTATTATTTTTATATATCTTATATGGTTGTTTCTATGTATCCGAATTTAAATATTTATAGTTATAGAGCTTTTTGAATTGATTACAGAGCTTTATGATTTGATTAAATCCAGCTGCAGGATGCACCGGCTCTGTCAGAGTATTATTGAACTGCTAATAACACATGGATCTTAAAATGTTAAAGACTGATCTATCTCCATAAATTGTTCATTGACACCCATAATTTGTGGTCTGTACAGAGAGCTTCTGACTATGAGACAATGACGCCTGCTGTAAGAGCTGCACCAGTGCCCCGCTGCAGATGTTCCCATCCAGAGTGCATTGATCTTGCCACTTTACCGCAGCCACCTTCTGACGTCTGCCCCTGCTTCACAGAGGAGCATCGCAAGTCCGCCATCTCTTGCAATGTTGGCGAATATGTTGATGTAGACGTACCTGGACACTTATGCCCATACCAGCATTTGGAGCAGAGTCAGCTGGAAGAGCATGTTTATCACAGTCTTCATGGCAGCAGCAGCCCCAAAACAAGGAGCTCCAAGACAACTGATCTTCCTCAGATATCACTCATTCCAGGAACAGTTTGATCCAACGTGAGCTCGATATGGTATTAATTTATACCAAGTTGTAAATTTGTTTTTACACTTAGTAGTTTAATAGTTTAAAGGTCCTTTAATAAGGCGAAGGAGTTTTTTTTCTCTGCCCCATTTACCTGGGTACTGCTGGTCATCTGGTTTAAAAAAAGAGACTATAATTTAAACTGTTTTGATTTATACAAAAACCGTGGTACTATCAAAGCTATTGCTGCACATTGCTTGTCAGCTGGCTGATATATTACCAAAAACCAAAAATGTTTCAAAGATATTTTCCCAATTGAGTAAAAAATTCTTAAGCAAGCCACTGTTTTCATTTGTGTTTCTGTATGGACGGCAGAAGCTCAAATTATTTGAATGAATGTGTATTTCATATTTTTGTCAAAAAACGAAGGTACAGAACTATAAATCTTCCTGAAGCAGCAGTTAGTGCCATGTTTCTGTTAATAAAAGCAGTTGGATCATGACATATTCTTGTTTAAATGTAAATGTTGTAAAAATGTTTTTTCAGGCATAACCAGAATCTTATACCAGCCAGAGTGTTAATGCAGCAAAGGGGTGATTATCAACTGTTACTATTTTCTTCTTTCAAAAAATAAAAAAGGAAAAATTCATAGCTGTCATCACCATTGTGTAGTCTTTGTCATCCAGGACATGATAATCTGAGGTGGGAACCTGGCCTTCTCTTGTTTCTTAAGGAGTTTGGACCTCTCTTCCAAAACGATTATTATTAAGTTATGAACATGGATAAGACTTATCTATATCTATCTATATAACATTGATTGACAATGAATTTCACATGCTGTTGTGTAAATGGAATAGACACCAGGTGAAAATTATTTGCATTTAGAAAGCTACTCAATAAAGGAGTGGTTCTGCAGGTGGGGACCACAGACATTACTGACCCTTAACTTGCATAATCAAAGTTGGATAAGCCTGTAGTGTCTTTTCATTTTTAATTTTGTGTGTGACTTCAAATTCAGGCCTGCAGTGGTTAATAAATTGGATTTCCATGAACAATTCTTATGTGATTTTATTAGCACATTCAACTTTGTACAGATCAAAGTTATATTGTACAGCATCTTGCAGCGGCATGCTATTCCATCCGGTGTTTAGTTGGATCTTCATTTATTTTTCAACACAACAATGACCCCAAACACTCCTCCAGGCTGTGTAAGGGCTATTAGACCAAGAAGGAGAGTGATAGGGTGCTGCAGATGACCTGACCTCCACAATCACTGAACCTGAACCTGTCCTCGACAATCACCGGACCTAGATATATATATATCTATATATGTATCTCTATATATATATAGAGATACTCTATATATATATATAGAGATACATATACAGATATATAGGTGTATTAGTTTCTCTCTGTCCTGCTCTGTGCTGCCAGGGGCCCAGAAGACAACAGCATAGAGAAGGGCTGATGCCACCACAGAGTCATAGAAGGTTTTAAGCAGGGGCCTGCTCACTGCAAAGGATCTCAGCTTCCTCAGGAGGTGGAGGGGCTGTGGCCCTTCTTATACAGGGCTTTGGTTTTATGAGTCCAGTCCAGTTTGTTATTGACATGACCAACCAGGTATTTGAAACTCCCCACAGTTTCTATGCTCCTGGGTGTTCATGGGGGAGTGAGGTGGGGGTCTTCTCCTGAAGTTGATCACCATCTCTTTAGTCTTACTGGTGTTAAGACACAGGTGATTCTTCTCAGACCAGTTTACAAAGTTCATGATGACCGATCGATATTCCAGCTTATTCCCCTCAGAAACACAGCCTACGAGAACAAGAACTTCAGGAGAGGACAGCTGTCCGTGTTGTAGGTGAAGTCTGAGGTGTAAAGGGTGATGAAGAAGGGAGACAGAACAGTGCCCTGCTTGCCTTGAACCTGGAGATGCAGCAGTAAAGTTCTGTTTGTCTCATTTTGTCTTTTGTCAAAAAAATCCACTAAATGTGAGCAGTGAGGCTGCCGCAACCGTGGAAATGAGTACTGTCTTTAACTGATACAACTGAGCTAGAGCACGTTTTACTTACTGCTCATATCCTCTTTAGTGACCAGTTCTCTATCCTTCTCAGTTTTGTGGTAAAGTCTTCTCATAGTTTCTCCTCAGAGTTTTCCTCAGAGTTTTCCTCACTTCAGCTATGTCAAGGTTTAGTGCCTCCTCCCCCTCATGTGGAACAGCTCTCCCTGCTGGAGTGCTGTTTAGTACCTCAAACCTTCCATGAAGTTGTTTAGTTAATTTAGGAAGTCAGTGTTTGCAATGTGTCCACCAGGGGCGAGGGTGTGTTGTATTCTGTGATCGCCCGTATGCCTTGTCACATCCTACAGATGTTGCTGGCATCGAGGAAAAGATCCTGGATTTTCTGGCTGTGGTTCTGCTTCGCTGCTCTGGTGGTTTAAGTTTAAGTTTACCTTTAAGTTTCCACGAAACTGAGTTCCGTGATTTTAGCGATTTCCGAACCTCCCCATTTATCCAAAGTCGTTGGCTTACTCGAATGGGGATGTTCTTTGTAATGGTGCATTTGTTCAGCAAGTGGAGGAAAGATGTGAACAAGGTATTCAAATAAAGTTGATGACTGCAGCAGCAACAGTGTCTCAAACTGAAACTGCTGTATATTCCTACCATCAGTACAGTTATTCATTGCATTTGTTGATGTAAATTAATTGCACAACAAAGATCTACAACATAGTATCTATTGCTTTATTTTTCTTTTAAAAGACTAAAGTCTTTCCCCTGGTTTGAAAACGTTTTCATGATAGTAGACATAGTAGAACTTTTATGTCTGTTCTAAATAAAATAGGAACTAGTTCAGTTTATAATTTACTTCCTTCTATCATGTAAATATGTTAAATTTAGCCAAAGGCTGCATTTTATCCATCAAAGTTAACCTATTTCACATGATACCTGGAAAAAAATGTATGCTAACATGCTGTGCAGGCTTATAAAACTCTTACTTTTTAATAAAAAAAAAAGAAAGGAGGATCTATTCAAAGGGTTTCAGCGAAACTGATGAAAAGAAGGAAGTGCTGCAACAAAAAAAGGAAAAAAAAAAAAAAAGGAACCATGCAATAACAAAAGCAGCTCTGTAGATCGATGTCTTAAGTCTTGATTTTTGGGTTTAAAGAAAGTTGGCACTAATGTTCAGATGATCTGAAAGTTATGAGGAGAAATTTGGTCTTTGCTGTTGTCCTCATTTTTCAAGGTAAATTCCCTAAGATTACATGTTTTATCCCTCTTTTGTTGCTTCCTCTTTGGTCGTGTTCAGTGCTTTAGTGGTTGAACGGTTCTCTGCAGTGTTACAGAAAGTTCAGTCAGTCACACTTTATGGCTTATATGTCTCTATTTGAGTGTTAAACAGCAGCTTAAATAGCTTTTAAACATATGCATGTGTTTCAGTATTTGCTAATGTAGTCTAATTTTGTCTCTTTTTCTATAAATTCATTTACTGTTAAGGGTTGGGTGTTTTAAAGCTGTTACTGTAAATTTAAAAAAACATGATTGACTTGATTTGTTAGTTTTTTGCAACTAAAAATGATTTGATCTTATTTTTCTTTGTCAACTTAAATATCAATGATTTACAGCAGGCTCTATGTTCTTGCTGAACTTGTACAAATGTTTATAACTCTGAGATAAATTAATCTTTTTCTTTGTTGATGCTGTTTACCTCTCTTACTCTCTTTGTCGCTGTTCCAGTTTGCAAGATAAACCTGAGACCTTGTCACTTACCCTTGCTTTGACATACCTCTTTTTGGATCCTTTTAATGACTTGTACGCATTTTTTTTTGGTTAAATCCTCACAATCTTTATTTCAGTTATTTGTTAGGATGTCTCGAAAAGTGTCAATATTAATCAAACGAAACAAAGAAATCCCAATTAGTTTGAACAGTTTCCCTCTCATTGAATAACTGTACTGATGATAGGAATATACAGCAGTTTTCAGTTTGAGACATTGTTGCTGCTTCAGTCACCAACTTTATTTTAAGACCTTGTTCACATCTTTCCTCCACTTGCTAGTAAGTGTTTATGATTGTGTATGATCAGCAAAACTTTGTTAATGTCATGATGGGTCTCAGAGTTAAGCCCAAAATGCAGAACACACACGGAAAACTGGGTAAAAGTTCAACAGAGTTTATTGTGGTACACAAGCACACGATAAGAATAAGTTCTGGAACAGGTTCAGGGCTGGTTCACTAAAGTCTTGACTGGGACTGGAGACTGTTGGTTAGCAGAGTTCATGGGAAGCTAAGCGTCTAGCTTCAGGCTTAGCATGGCAGATCTTGATCTGAGCTCCCAGCTCACTGCAGAGAACAACAGGGAATATCCACATAGGATTCTTCAGGGTGATTCCACATAGGAACCTTCAGGTTGGCTCACCAGGGCAGGTTAGCAGGTTAAGCTCTCCTAGAGCTTCAGGCTTGAGACTGGTTTCCTGTGATGCAGATCTCCCAGAGCTTCAGACCAGAGACAGGTTTCCAACTAAGATCAACACTGCGGCGTGGAAGCAAGGTCTGGCAGGAGCTTTTAAAGGGGAGGTCTCCTGATGAGTAGATGGAAATCAGGTGTGCTGGAAGGTTCCAGCTCCAGAAGACCCACGGCGCACTCTGCTGGAGACAGAGGGTAATCTCCAGATCCCAACAGTAACTCCAGCCCTAAGGAGAAAATACAAAGAGCAGAAGAGGATCCTCGGCGCCCTCTGGTGGGCAAGCCTGAGGATCCCAACAGTTAATTCATACATTCATGTATTCATTCATGTCAAAAGATAAATTTTCATGCTGCTGTTTTCTTTCTTTAAGTTGTTTTTCAGACTGAAGCCATTACAGGAATTGAAGGGAATCCAGTCACGATAACATGCTCCCATTCTTATGCCGACACCAACATCAAATATTTCTGTAGGGACCCCTGCGATAATGCGGACGTCCTGATAAAAAGCAACGGACAGCAAACTGAGAAGTATCGTATAGAAGATAAGGGGAACACATTCTATGTGACAATATCAAACCTGGAAAAGAAGGATGCAGGAATTTACTGGTGTGGTATTGAGAGAGTTGGGGCTGACACATATAATAAAGTGATTCTCACTGTAGAGAAAGGTAAGTGGACTTGTCACTGAAAAATAAATATTAATGGTGTTATAATCATCACTTCCTTTAAGAGCATCTGCTCTGTTTCCTTTTCCTTTAAAACTTTGCTGAGGAAGTTTCTCTCTAAGGGTTTGTTCGTTAAATAAAAATCTGAAGCCAGAGCTGTCTTACGTATAAGAAGACGACAGCACAGACCAAACATAATAATTCATTACAGCGTTGCCACATAGTAGGGCCTCAGGGAGAGAGGGCTATACCCACCCTGACCCCACCTGCTAGAAAGTGTAAATGCATATTTTAATGAATTTCAAGCAAAACTATCATTACCTGCACATAGTTGATTGTGAGTCAGCCACCCATGGCTCCATACTTTACTCTATTCTTTATTTATAATGAATACACATTAAAACTCCTGAAACTGCTGTTGCTTTTTTAGTGTGGCCCTAGCATATACTACAAAAAAGTAAATCTAAATAATTGCATTTGTTCTCGAACTGAGGAGGTAATCGAGACACTGTGCCAATGGAACAAGACAATTTACATTCAAAATAAGAAAAAATTATTTCATTGTTTTATTTCAAGTGCAAATTATGCAATTATCTTATTTTAAGAGTAAAAAGTCTTATTCTATTGGCAAATCGTCTTATTTACCTACTCAAATTAAGGATGAATAGAATAGGATATTATAGAATAGAAAATCCCTTTATTGTCTCAGAATGGGGAAATTCTGGTGTTACAGCAGCAAAGGATTATAGAAAAAAAAAATTACGGTATAGAAAAAAAACATGGTCACATAAATGTGGACCCACAAGCATGTATAAAAATAACATAATAGTGAAGAGTTAAAACTATAAACAAATAAAATACTGCACTGTAAAATACTGTGCATCTGGTGAGTAAATAACCAATATACAACAATGGACATTATACATTGGTAATGGATATTTGAAAATAGCAGCAACATCAGAGATGTGCAAAATGACAGCAGCATGTTGGCTAAGATAGAAACTGTGCAAAAATCAGCATGAATTGAACATCTTATTGAGGCTGTTATTGTTAAATTAAACACATTATTAATTATTGATAAGACATTTGTATCTATTTCAAGATTTTTTTGCAGTGTGGCGTCAGGATTTTGACATATCTTAAGCTTCTGTCTGTCAGCAAACATTCAGGACTCAAGAAACAAGATAAACTGACAGTTTCTTTTGATGTCTTTTCCAGAGAGTTTAGAGAACAACCCAGGGGTGTCACCATCTAGTAAGCATTTCCAATTTAGTGCAGATTTACACAATATCTGTGGAACAAAACGTACCTTTTCAGTTTATCATCTTGGATTTGTTTTTTGATTTTATTTATTTTTCTTTAGAGACAATCATGTATGTGGAAATATGTCTTGCTGTAGCTGTGGTGGTTCTGGCGACTGTCCTTCTGTTTTTCTACAGATACAGAAAAAGAAATGGTAAGTCAAACACACCAGTACAGCTGACGTACCATCCGATTATTCATTTATCTTTTTTTTTTTTTTAGATTTTTTTTCCATACTATTTTCTGAAAATTTCAGGCCCTTTGAGCTTGTTTTGCAGAAGTACTCATGTCTTATTAAATGACAAACTATGATCTATACTACTGACATTTATATCAGTGGGGAGAGTAAGTATTAACATGGATTTTGCCATTTTTCCCACTTGCAAAGTATGTAAAAATCTTTAAATCTTATCACAGATTCTCTTCAACTGTGAATCTGAAACAAAAATCTGAAAAAATAGCATTTTGCATGACACAAGTTCGGATGCTACCTGTGTAAAAGACAACTCTCCACACACTTAATCAAACAAACTCCAACTTCTCCACATTGGCAAAGACCAGAGAGCAGCGTAAGGGTTAAAATTGTAGACCTGCACCAGGCTGGGATGGGCTACAGGAAAACAGATAAGCAGCTTGGTGAAAAAGAAACAACTGTTGGCACAATTATGAGAAAATAAAGAGGTGAAGATGATTGTCAGTCTGCCTTAGTCTAGGGCTTCATGTAAGATCTTACTTAAGACAGACCAGCTCGGTGACTGTTAATAAATTGCTCTCCAACAGCAAGATTCTGACAAAGACAGCAGCAAAAGCAAATGTATTTCTTTCTTTTTATTTTCATTTACATTTAAAGATGATTGCATGAAGAAAGAATAAAGTTTTAGGTAAATATCAGTAATTGTTTAAAAAAAAAAAAGCTAATATTGTATTTTTGATAAAGATTTTCTTTTTATACCAGCCTGCATTTAAAATCTTCTAGCTGACGAATGCATCCCGCTCCACCATTTTGTCAGCTCCAACATTGCTTTTCTCGTACACAAAGGGCCAACGTAAATACAAAGTAGCAGACGCTATATTACTGCAGTTAATTTGATGTCTGCACTGTGGCTGTATTTTTCTTTAGTCAAAAATCAAAACCTTCCAAGCTTTCAGTTTGTTATTCTTTTTTGTATTTCTAGTTGTAGAATATTCTTGAGTTTAATTTCCAAGTTAAAGTTACCCATTATATATGGGTCAGTTATTCTCATACCTATGCTTGTTGACTGCTGTTCTCCATCTGAGTAACATTACTCGATCAAACCTATTCTAACATTCTTACATACAAAATGAGCATGAAAAGTATATATGACTCAGGCTGATCAGACACTTAGTAATAGCTTTGTGATGTATAATTGGGTCTTGCTGATGAGTTATCTATAACTTCTGTTTCATCACTTCCCATTCAGGACAGGAAAACAATGGCACTGAATATGCAACACATTTCATGATGAAGAAAGCACAACATGCCAACACCACTTCACCGGTTAGTGAGGAAGGAGGAGACTCTAAGACCCAGTCGAGTGACGTCTGTTATTCCACAGTCAGCTTTAACAAAAACCCAACCTGCAGCTCCCTCCCGCCTCCAACTGAATCAACCACATATTCATCTGTTAAACCCAAATAGGCAACCTGCACCATCGGAAAGGCTTAAAGTCATCTGGACAAATTTTCCTATTTAACTTTAGAGCTCATTAAATTAATCTCTGCGCATATTTACATTCTCCTTTTTTTGTAATGTTTTTATTTAGTGACAAACTGAGAAACTGACCCAAGGTCAGAATGAAAATTTTCAGCTCAGTTAACATCTTAACTTTCATAGTTATAAAATATTGTGTATAAAGTCACATTAAATAAATTAGAGAATTAATTCAGTTGTGGCACATTTGTCAGACTAAAAGTACATTTCAAATGAACAAGCTTTAAGAAGGTATTAAACATACATTTCTGGAATACAAAGATAGTTTGTTGTCTTTTACTTCTGTTATATTGTGGTGTGAGACATTTGACCATCATTAGTTGCTGTAATACTGTTGGAGGTTACCCAGCAGAGCCCAGATGGCAACACCCACTTTTCACTCTCTGTTAAAGCGGGTTAAACATGGTCCTAGGTTTTTTCTTTTTAAATCCTTTGAAGGACGTGACTTGAATGCTTCAAAAAACAGTCGCAAATATTGTTTTTGTGCACAAATGTTGATTTTGCAAGATGTTACCCAGAATATGCATTTTAAGGCTCTATCAAACATGGCTAGACTCTTCTGAAAAAATGCTTAAGAACAGAAATATGTTGTTGCAGGACCCACCATGGCTAGTATCACTGGAAACTAAAGAGGCATACAGTGTCTTTCCAACGGCATATATATCTTTTATGCATGTTGTAAAGTGTCACAAAATGGAAATCAGCCCTTGTATTTGACAATATTCTCTTTTATGAAGTTAAACACACATTTTTGACTTTAGCAAGTGCCGAAACTGCCAACTGGACCATTGTGTCACCTCAACCTGACCCAGTGGGGATGTTTGTGGGCTTTAGAAAGTAGCACAGCTACACCTTCCCCCTTTGTTCTGGGTGACTCCCTAGACGCCACCATGGGAATCCTTCTGCTTCCTGTGCAACATCACTGCTCAGAACCTTAAGTGGAAGCTGAACACCACCTCCCTCACCAAGAAAACCAGCCTGACAGCTGTAGTAGTAGAATATTTCTTATCCTATTAATGAAACTTTCTTCTAAATTCAGTAAAAATGTACTCCAGCGTTGACATTAATTGACATTAAACGTTTCTTTTGCACAGCAGTGACTATTAATGCTGAGAACACTTTTAACGTTATTTTCATATAATTCCCTAATATTTACAGAAACACTGTGTTGTTCAAATTGATTAAATCTCAGTGTGATAATTGTTATCCTTTTTTATTCTATTCTAATGACAAATTTGTGTAAATTCTGTTCCCCTAGTGGCTGAAGAAGGTTTTTTTTTTTTTTTTTTTTTTTCCCCAAGACCTGGATTATTTGTAATGCAAGTGGAACTAAAGAGTTTGCTCATTGCACCTGCATGGCATTGGCATCTTTTGCAGCAATGCTCATCAGGATTAAGGCAAATCTATAAAATAGGCACGCTAGATGTTGATTCAAGGTTCGGGAAAGGTGGAACCGCCACCTGTAGACACCATTGGCTTTAAACCTCAGTCCGTCAAGAAGGCAGAATCTTTTTCACAGCTGCAGAGTACTTTAATCTGCCTGTCTGTAACCGAGTTTTTTTTTTTTTTTTTTAGTTTCCCCTTCTTTGCTGTTATCTGTTGTTGCACATTTTTCTCTTTCCCTTTTGTATTTTAATTGCGGTGTTATGTGTTTGCATACACTGCAAAAATATGACTGTTATGGTTTGCATCTCTAAATTATCTTTAGGTTTTAGTCTGAGGCATATAACTGTGTTATTTCAACCAAATAAAAAAAATGCAGAACAGATAAGCAGATCATGGCTTGTCTACAGTGAAAAGAAGGACTGGGTTACTTTTGTTTACTTTTGCCGTCGCTGTAGTGGGAAAAAAATATTCAACTATTCACCCTACACTGTAAGACTTTTCACTGTGAATTTACAGTAATTTACTGGCAGCAGCTTCGCCAGTAAACTACTGTATTATTTACAGTATCTTGCTGTAATATATAAATACAGTATATTGCTGTAAATGATTCTACAGTTAATTACTGTAAATTTACAACAGATCGTACACTGTAAGCCTTTGATGTAAAATTACAGTTAAATCTGAACAGTATTTTACTGTATCACTGCCATACAGTATCATACTGTAAACTGCAATGCAATCTGGGAGAAAAAAAAAAGATTACAGCAATTTCAGAGAATTCATTCTTTTTACAATATTACTGCACTTTTACTGTAAACTGCTAAGCATTATGGGAAGGTGAAAGAAAAGTGTGGGAAAACAGGATTCTAGACCATCGGTCCTCAGAAAAACTGCTCAGCCAACTGCAGATGCCTGGAGCTGCCCAACGTCCTCCACACTGTTCACAGAGTAAGTTCACATTATTCACTTTTTTGTTCCTGATTTAGAAACGGGATTTGAGGACTTCTCTCTTTTTAGTTTTCTGCTGTTTATAAGTTTTACAAAAACGCTGTTGAAAAATGTTGTTTTTGTAAGATAACATTAGATAAAAATTGTGTAAGCTTTGTCTCAATTTAATGTTAAATCAACATTAAAACATCAGGGGAATGGATAAGTAACATGGCAGGTCTGAGTTAGCATGTTATAAGTTTCCTCTGTTGTGTTAAAGTGCTCTATAAATTATTTCAGTTGAGTTTCCACATCAAAAGAGAAACAAAACAGGCAAAGTGCTAAACTTGGCCAAAATTACTAAGAGTAAGCGTTATGTTTTCTGTTTTGTTTTTTTTTTAAATGGTGGATTTCACCATAGGCTTCTTTTTTCTCTGCATCTAGCAAAGGAGTCTTGCGAGTTGCGACTTCCCCTTCACCCCAGACCTCTTCACAGCCGAAGTTGCGGCTCTGCTGCACAAAGCCACTGTGAATCGGTCACAACCGAGCTGCATCACAGATGCCCGGAGCTGCCTGACGTCCTCCACCCTCTCCAGAGAGTGAGTGAA